CACAGCCAAACACAGCCAAACTCACCCTGAGCACACACAAAGTCACAGCCGAAGTAAAAACAATAAGTGTGGCTTGATATTGAGTAAGAAAAAGGTTGATAAACGCTGTGAGAATGGGTCTGCAGAGAGAATTTCGCCGCGATCCCAACTGTCTGTTATCAGCCTGCAGCCAGGGAGGAGAAATCAGCAGAGCTGCATGCACTGAGTGTGTGTGTGAGGAAGTCCGTGGATTGGTCAATTTGGACCAATCAGCGGGGGCTTAACGTAACGGCTCCGCGGATTGGTCCATTTTGTTCCGGGTACGGTTGACATCATGCGTACCCGGAAGAATCAAATGGACAATGACGTATCTCCAACGAGGCGTTTTGGGGAGGTATTTTTTGTGTTAGAGTTTTACTCGCTACAGGGTGTACTTTGAGGGTTTGTGACTCTGCAGACCGTTTACATGCATAAAAACCTTCATAACACAGAAGGGGACGGGTAATAGCCAGAAAAGCATGACATGGGACCTTTAAAACCATTCTAGCTTTTTGAGATGAATATACCTTTTGGATCATATTGACTTAAAATATTTGAAACGCTTACAATACTTATTTTCTGCAGTATGGATACACGTTTTTGCGCTCTCTGTGGTATCGATAGTCAATATATTTCAAGTTGTCGTAACAAAGGTAGACATTCTAGGATCAACGCAAAAATACATAAATGTGAAGGGGCGGGGGGTGGACCCGTTCAAATCCAGTTTTGGACAGTCTGCCGTGGTTCCATCCCATTTCAAGTGTTGTTCGACGCTCGGCGTAACCCTCGGCGCACACTCAAACATCCAATCACAGAGCTTGAGGACTTACTTCCGGGTGTAAAATTCTCTAAAGCAACTACTATGAGCTGCTCCGACCCTCGGTCCTGACGGACTCCAACTTGTGTTTATTAATCAAACAAATAAATAAACACAAGGATAATTATGTGTTATTGTGGAGTAAATAACAGTGTGTGGTTTAGAAAATAATACAAAATTAGAAGGAAAAAACGATGAAACAATACAGATTTCAGTTTTCTGAGCCCCTACTCTCCCCATAACTGACGGCAACAAAAGTCCTACATTACTCAATTAAAATAAAGAAGTAAAAACAATAAGTGTGGCTTGATATTGAGTTAGAAAAAGGTTGATAAACGCTGTGAGAATGGATCTGCGGAGAGCATTTCGCCGCGATCCCAACTCCTCTATTACCAACGTTCAGGGAGCTCTATGCAAGTCAATGGGACGCCCTGCCCGTTGAAAACTGACTTCCAAGGGGTACCCTGTCCGTAATACAGTGACGGGGAGGGGCCCTGACCGACCGTCAACATGTGACGGGTTGGGAGTGAGAACGTGTTGCTTTGCGATTTTCAACATTTCTGAGTTTAGGATGGCCGAAGACACTACACTACCCATAATCCCCAGCTATCGTTTAGGATTACTGTACCCGTGATTAATCTTCAAGATCTGGGATTGGATGTTGGAGTGGCAGTGCGCCAAGGTTACGCCGAGCGTCAAACAGCTGTTTGAAATGGAACGAAACCACGCCAGACTATCCAAAACTGGAATCGAACGCCCCCCCAGAACTACACATGCTGGCTATTGTGTTTCACAAAATGTTCTATGGGACGTCTCTACTGAACGTTTTCGTTTTCCCCACAATTAGAAGTTGCCAGTATTAAACACATTGGTGTTATCAAATGTAAAACATATAATTAATAAATGGGTGAAAATCGCTTGTGTCCATAATGCGCAGCATTAATATATATCCACATGACAGCTCATTGTTACTTTGTAATTCTACTCCACTACAATTCAGAGGTTAACCTGGTATTTTTACTCCACTACATTTATTTGAGTTACTTTGCAGATACTGATTAATGATGTGAAATATAAGCAACTCTTAAATCAGACTTTAGTTACACCTGAGTACAATTCAGGGAAGGTGATTGTCTAGTGCCAACAATCAGGAGAGATATTTGATAGTTGGTGCTTGAGAAGACTAAACATTTATCTGCAATTGACATGAATGGAAACGAGTAATAAAGTATATCCATTACTCATTATCCTCTACTAATAGTTAATTAAAGACTGTATAATGGCTATTTTGCACATCCCTTTCAAGATTTCAAGATTGTCTAAGGTTTATGGACATATCATATACACAACTATGGTGTAGTTATGCAATGAATGAAGGTGACATAAAATTGACTATAATATCGTCGTACCACGCTTAACTGTCAAATTACACACCTTCCAATGGTCTGTATAACTATCTCAGAACATTCGTGACACGTGAGTGACGNATAGCATTTCGCCGCGATCCCAACTCGTCTATTACCAACGTTCAGGGAGCTCTATGTAAGTCAATGGGACTCCCTGATAGTTGAAACTCAACGCTAAAGGCCCCCCCCTTGCGTTGGAAAGTGACGGAAAGGACCCTGACATAACGTCAACATAGGCCGAGTTGGGAGTGAGAATGTGTTGGTTTTTCCCCACGCCGGCGGGCGGATGGGGTTTAACAGGTTAAAGGGCCCTGTTATGATCATTTTCAGGTTCATTTTTGCATTTTGTGCCTCTACTATGACATGTTTACATACTTTAATGTTCAAAAAGAGCTTTACTTTTCTCATTCAGTTTCCGATTCGAGGGACAAATATGCAAAGAGACACTGGGAGCAGGAAGGAGCCCCAACCCATTACAGTAAAAGTGTCACGAGTAACTGGGAAACAGAAGGCAGTAACTGGGAAGCTGCCGCTGTGGACAGCTCCATTGCATCACAAGGGAGAAGCTCTAATAGGGAACAGGCAAGGGTCACCATGGCGATATAAATCACACCTGGCAACTGGGAGACAGTCGCCTTGACAACTAGCTTAATATGCACCTGCTGCACAGTGTGTGTGTGTGTGTGTGTGTGTGTGTGTGTGTGTGTGTGTGTGTGTGTGTGTGTGTGTGTGTGTGTGTGTGTGTGTGTGTGTGTGTGTGTGTGTGCAGGAGAGGCAGCCTCTGCAGACGCCCCCCCGCTGAGCGGAGCCGATCAGGACGCCTCGTACCTGGGATACGTACGTTATTACTAACGCTGATCCGCAGCCGAGCTTCAATTAAAACATAAATAGGTTTTATTTGTCTTGTTTTTATTTTAGGGGATCTATTATAATCAAACAATATAATTCAAATATTTATTTATTACATTCATTTTATTTACCTTTTTTATTATTCAGGAACATTTATTTATATTTGTTGTTATTTACATACTTAGGCTTACGTATCCATTCATGTATTTAGGAATGTTCTTCTCAGTGTATTTGGTTGATCTCCCGTGTGAGGGTGTGTTTCATGTGTTTACCGTAATGAGTTGGTATTGCTCCTCAGATGCGTCTGCTGGGGGAGTGTCGCGGCTCCATCGACACGGTGAGGAAGATGGGCTGCGAGCTGAAGGAGGAAGAGGAGGGGGGGGCCGGACTCATAGACCCCAGCTCAGAGTCCCAGACCTCTGGTGAGTGTTCTGCAGTATCAATATACTAACAGTGCAGATACACGTTGTTGGACAGGACAGTTTGAGGCACTGACAGTCAGTCTGTGTCCAGGTGCAGGGACCATTGAAGGTCAAAGTGTGTTCCTCTGCAGGAGTGATCGAGTGCTGGAGCTGCTGCAGAGGACACAGATAGATGCATAGAGAGTCAGTCTGTTTGCCCAGACTCAAGTTGAACTCAGAGTACATGTGTGTGTTCCTGCAGGAGTGATCGAGCGCTGGGAGCTGCTGCAGGCGCAGGACGCCAGCCGGCAGCTGCGCAGGAAGCAGAGCCAGCAGCAGGAGCAGCAGCTGACCTCAGACCTGCTGAAGGTGTGCAGCTGGCTGGAGGGGGCGGAGGAGGAGCTGCAGCAGCAGAGGAGGCTGGAGGTCAGCTCAGACATCCAGGACATCCAGCAGCGCATCCTCAAGCTCAAGGTAGCCCTGCTCTAAAGGTCTCCTATTGGTCTAGGCAGATATTAAGAGAGAGAGCTCTAGGGACTGAGCTGCTGTCGTTATCTTTCTGTTGTCCTTTCTTTACAGGTTAACAAACATAGAAACAACTCTCGCAGAAAAACAGACTTATGCATAAACACAAATAACAAAGACAAATCAGAACACAAAAGACATCCCACCAGGACCTTCGTCTCTTCAACAGTCATTCAGCAACCCTCCTATTTTAAGAGAAACTAAATCCCTCCATCCCTCCATCCCTCCATCCCTCCATCCCTCCATCCCTTCATCCCTCCATCCCTTCATCCCTCCATCCCTCCATCCCTTCCATCCCTCCATCCCTCCATCCCTCCATCCCTCCATCCCTCCATCCCTCCATCCCTTCATCCCTCCATCCCTTCATCCCTCCATCCTCTTCTCTAACGTTTCACTCTGTAGTCTCATGAGCCACGTCCACCTCTTGGCTCATCAGTAGCCCACTTTTGATATGCTGTGTGTGTGTGTGTGTGTGTGTGTGTGTGTGTGTGTGTGTGTGTGTGTGTGTGTGTGTGTGTGTGTGTGTGTGTGTGTGTGTGTGTGTGTCTGTGTGTGTGTGTGTGTGTGTGTGTGTGTGTGTGTGTGTGTGTTTGTGTGTCTACCTGCAGGCCCTTAGTCGTCAGAGTGCGTGGGTTGGAGACATATGTGTGTAAACGTCCGTCCACTCCTCTCAGCAGCGGCTCAGAGTCTCGGACATACTGCAGGTCTCTGGATGTCCGCAGGTCTACCACCTCCATGGACTGACTCACATTCTGAACCTAAAACACACACAGGGTTAAGATGATTGATGATTGTTAGTACACTGCATATTGCCAAAAAGGCTTATGATTGCTTTTGGCAGTTGCTTGATTCCTGCCACCTGCTTGTTGTTCCCAAACAACTGTTGTTAAATATGGCTGTGAGATGGAATATTTAAAGGGTTGTTCCACTTTCCTATACTGTGTTTTATAGTTTTTTGTGCGTGTAAATGGTCTGCAAAGGCTAAAATCCCTAAGTTCCATCCAGAGTGAGTTTCTGTGAGTGCATCTCAGAAAAGCTGTAAGACATATTTTGAGTGAGATAATTGCTATGTGACTTGTTTACTACAGGGTGACAGTATTTCCGTAATTAATTAATCAACAAGATTAAGAGTCTTCGACTATCTAGCACATGTGACGCTGTTTTTAATAACAGCAGTGCTTAGAGCTGAATGCTAACATGATGATGTTTAGCAGGTGTTGACCATCTTAGTTTAGCCTGCTAACATGCAAACATTTACTATCAGGGACTAAACAAAAAAGGACAGCTGAGGAGGATGGGAAAGTTATCAGTTTAGCAAGATTTTTTGTCATAAAACAAAGTGTTGTACATATCAAAATGTTAACCTGACGCTAAATATACTTGAAAAGATAATTGAGGTTTTAACATTTTACCACCAGTAAACGTAAATACTTTTCGCAAATATGCGGCGCAGCCATAGTCTGTCAATATAATTCACTTTGAACTTCAAATGTCAACCTTAAGAGGAAAGCAGAAAGGCACACATGTCTGTTCAACATTTCATGGTAATCTGATTCTAGAGACACGCTGCTTCTGAATTTTGATGAAATATTGTGGAACTGCGAGCACCACAGGCAAAATTCCTTCCATCTCAATTTCAACGTGAAGGCAGCAGATGACTAAAGAATGAACAAATCAAACCAAGCTGACCTCTTAATATTCAGACCACCTTCAAAACATGATGCAAAGTCACACAGATCCTGTTTCTCTCTGAAGAACCTGGATTCATTTAAAACATGAGGTTCTCACCTAGACTCTGTCCTGCTCCAGAGACAACAAACACACTCCCACGTAGGCCAGACGCGATAATCAATCAATTGACTCGTATCGTACGATAAATAAAAATGGACTCGATAACTTTTCTGAGCTCGATAAATTGCCGTTTACATGCGTGTTTGTTTACATAAGGGTGTGACCAGAATTTTAGCGCGGTGCGCTGTGAGGGGCGGGGCTCACAGCCACACAGCCAGGTCAGGAAACTCCGCGTGCAACAGTGTAGCAGCCAAATTAATAATATAGAGACAAGAAGGAGACAACGTGTGACTTACTCGAGGGGAATTTGAAGTTAAATGGAATTGGTTGCAATACCACATCTCCGGTGTGGGAATTTTTTTTGGATTAAAGCCAAATCAACGAGGCGAACCTACAGACTTGAATGAGCCGGGCGGTGTGTCGCATTTGTTTTAAAAAGGTAGCAATAAAAGCTAGCAATACGACCAACCTTAAACTGCATCTGAAACACAACCACCCCATTCCGTTTTCCCAGCTGGGAGCAAACACGGCAGCTGGAGATGGAGAGCCCCCACCTTCCCTACAGTTTGCAATCAAAGATGCATTTGCCCGACAATGCAAACATGTTGGTGTTCTTTGCTCGAAATCTTTGAAATACAGATTTGGATATTGCCTGTTGAGGCATCTGGGTCTTTGTATGGACAGTGGACTGTACACTTGACTGCTATTTTAAGGAGGTTTCTTTTGCTTGTGAGACAATGTGTGCTCATATTTATTTATATTTATATATGAGAGAGAGAGCTCTGTTTTCCAGCCTGAGTCTATTTAATTGATTGTTTTGGTTGTGTGTGATTTAATTAAAAAAAATTATTATTTAATTTGTTTTATTTATTATATATAATTTATATATTTGAATATTATTTCACATTTCATTTGCAATGTTGGATGTTCAATAAAGAGTTCTGTTTGAAAGGATGTACTTGATGAGACTGCCAAGGCACACANAGTCTATTTAATTGATTGTTTTGGTTGTGTGTGATTTAATAAAAAATGTTTATAATTTAATTTGTTTTATTTATTATATATAATTTATATATTTGAATATTATTTCACATTTCATTTGCAATGTTGGATGTTCAATAAAGAGTTCTGTTTGAAAGGATGTACTTGAATTATTATATATTATCATTATGTCAGTGGTCTAAAATGGTCTTACAACGGTGCCAACAATATTATCGGTTAACGCAAAAATTACCGGGAAAATGTATCGTCCAACAAAATGAATTATCGTGACAAGCCTACTAACATGCCTCTTCTCATTAATCAATCAACAACTTTATTAATCCTGCAAGGGGCAATTGGTTATGAGCAGCAGCTTATGTCATGTACACAGGCAGGAACATACAGGAAGAAAACACACAGCACCCTGAAAAGCTACCAGATACTTCAAATCTCTTTTGGTACTGGATGGAAAAAAAGAAGCGTGAATAAAAAGCCCTGAAAAATCTATTATCAAGATGACCCAGATTTCCTGAAGTGATATGAAAACAAACAACAAATAAACAAACACTAAGGGAAAAAACCCACCCACACATGTCCCACTGTTAAACATGCTAGGGAGGCCGGCTGGAGACACGTAAACACACACATGCATTCATACACACACATTAACACCCTCAGCAGGATCTAGGTGTCACTTCCAGAGACACACTGAGCTAATATAGATTCATAAATACAGAAGCCTCCCAACAGGAACAGAGCGAGAAGAAGTTATTTCTGATAGTGTTGATCTCTTTCCATACTGAAAAGAGCCCTGAATGCAGCACCAGCCGTGAATGAAAATGATCCTCTTTAAGTTATTGTTAGTGTGCCTTGGAACACTTTGGCAAGAAAACAGGATGCATATATATCCTGATGTGCAAAGTAAGTGCATGCTTTAGAAAATGTTTGCTGGCCTGACGGTGTTCAATAATTCATCAATTCTGTCACAAATCATTTTGATTTCTCTCTCAGGAAGCACATATACATTTAGAGGAATGTGCTAACGCAGCTAAATGCATTTCCTCACATAAACATGCTCTATATGAACACATTAACATTCATGCAAACAAATACAGAGCTGCAGCCTGCAATGTAGAACTAATTGTTTCTTTCCCACCCATCTGTCAGTATTCCCTTTGAGCTTAAACACTTTTGGCGTGTTGAATGACTGGGAGTCTTTAGAGGATACAGCTACTGATGTATCAGGGAGTATACATCTGTCAGTGAAACTCAAGTGTGTGTGTGTGTGTGTGTGTGTGTGTGTGTGTGTGTGTGTGTGTGTGTGTGTGTGTGTGTGTGTGTGTGTGTGTGTGTGTGTGTGTGTGTGTGTGTGTGTGTGTGTGTGTGTTCATGTGTGTTTCTGCAAATGTCAAAACAAAGAGACAGGCCAGTGAATATTAGAATCCAGTATGCTGACTTTCCCCTGTGCTGCATCTCAATGCTGACCACTGAAACATGCAGGGAAGCACTCAAAGAGGAGAGACACACACACACCTGTTCAGTCAGCAGGCGTAGTTGTCGACTCCGAGGGTCTCGTTTGCAGAGGTTTCGAGCCGGAGCGACCACCGTGCAAACACACCTGCCGTCCGGATCAGACGCCGTGCTGTACACCTGCCAGCCCTCCTCTGAGCCCGGGTACAGACCCTGCACACAAACAAGCTCTGTTTAACAGAGACCCTGCAGGAAGAACAGAGGGAGTCCTACAGAGGAGAAGGTCTCAGAGAAAGTCAAATTAAATACTGGATTCAATGCTTTGTTTGCAATCAGGATTTTATTTCTAAAAAACAACTTTTGTTTTTCAGTGTGGGTTTAACATTCTACCTGACTTCAGTTTTCACATTTTATAAACATTTCATTTACAATTCCTTCAGTAACCAGCCTTTTCCTGTCCGATTGTAAACGGTCTTAAAGTGTGAAAACAATAAGTGCATGGGCATATCTGTAACAATTGTTAAATATGCTGATTATGTTTAATTTTTGTGTCAAAGTGAGAGTTGTAAAAAAGTCCCTGGCCGTTTCTCAACCTCGATGAAACTGGCTTCCAAGCCAATATTTCAAGGATGCTACGTCATCGAGTGCCGCCGAAGGACTGTTCCAATCTCCAGGATACTTGGAATTCCACCGAGGCCGCGTCCTTGGTTTGGGGGCANCAACAAAGACACGCAGCATTCATACATACATAAAATAATAACAAAATAGAGTGCAGGAAATAATTCATGATCGCTCTGGGGAAGAAACAGGCCGTTTCTCAATCTCGAGGAAACTGGCTTCCAAGCCAATATTTCAAGGATGCTACGTCATCGAGTGCCGCCGAAGGACTGTTCCAATCTCCAGGATACTTGGAATTCCACCGAGGCCGCGTCCTTGGTTTGGGGGAAATTTCGAGGCTGCAAATGGGTAGACTTGCGTCCTTAAAATCCCCACAATGCTTTGCGCACGGACCAATTTCAAAAACCCTTGCGGAGAATGGCTGAACCGACGCAGCACACATTTAAATGTAATATGTAGTGGCGTAGAACATGTGTTGGTAAATATGTTACTTTGTTACATTTGTTTGTTATCACCAAAAATGTTTACCGTGAAAGTAAAGCAAGTTCATAATTAGATAGACATCGTGAGTTATTTATTTTCGGTACAGTTTATTTTGAAACCGTTAGAGAGAGTGGCACACTTGTTAGCCTGTTCCATTCTTCTTCGTTTTCCGAAGCCGTGGCTTGGAAGCATACTTGCTTCGTTTCT